CAACCTGCTTATTATGGAAAGGCAGCAAGGCCAAAGACCAGTGAGGCTAACCAACGTGTCCAAGTCACACGATGAGGCAGGTGGTCATGCTGAAAGTGGAAACCAGGTATCCTGACTCACTGTGCTCTTTCCATTACACTATTCTGTACTCCCTCTAGAGAAAGACATTACTCCGGATCCATAGTCTCTACAATATGTACATAGCTTTTAAAATATTCTTGGAGGACAGAACCAAAAGACCACAAAATGTACTACAAAGAATAGTCCAGAAGAAATGTCACAATCGTGGTCTTAAAAGAAATAGCACGGCTCCACTTTCCTTTCTTTACAGACTAGCAAGTCAAAAGAAGTGAATGTTGCCCTTTGCACACTGGCTTACTTTATTTGTTTATAAAGATACGTATGAAACATATGACTTTGCCAGATTATTCAGAAAAGGAAGGAGCACTTAGCAGTTAAAAATCCTGTAAGACACTCCCAGTCCCAACCCCAAGACTCTCTTTGCACCCTATGAACTTAACGTTATCAATTATTTGCAAATACTCCCTCTCTGAGATTAGCCTTATAGAAAGTTGCTCTTTTTAAGAGGCAAGTCTTATGGAAACATTTAGAAATTAAATATTCCAAGTAAAACACACTTTATACACTTTATGTAACACACATAAGAAGGATTTTTAATATGATAATATTCATAGGAAAATGGCCATTTAGTCAGAAGGATTGGTAAACATTCTCATTATTTCATGATATAAGCCATGTCTTTCTAAATTAAACATCAGTCTGAAAATGGATCATCGCTCGGTGTAGAAAAAACTTGCTTTGTTTTTTCTTTTTAAGGTATATTTACTTTTAAATAGGATTGTAAACATGATCTTAGGGGAGAACATTTCGATGAATACTCTTCTGTATTCTCTGACTCTGTAAAAACTGAAATACATTTCTCCCACTACTTTGCCCTCAGGATGGCTGAACAAACCTCATCTCATCTATTTGAAATGAATCCAGTTTAATTCTGCTTGACCAAAAATCTGTTTCCATAGTTCTAAAACATGCAATCACCCCAAGGTACACTGCCATTGCAGCTTGAGTGGCTCAGTGTCATCACTGAGGAAAACACATTATGATTGAGAAAACAGTCCAGAATGGCTTTTGAAAACTAAAATGACCCTTCTTGATACAGGAGATAGTAAGGCAGTGGATCAAAGCAGGCAGACACGGCCACTACTCTCAGGGTTTAAAAGAAGAGGCTTTATCCAACCTGCAAAAATGGGTCAAAGGTATAGCCCTGGAATTAGCATTACAAATCACTCTCTCATATTTAAACTTTGAACCAAAGTCTATCAAAAAAAAAAATCACTTTAAATTCCACATAAGTCAGTAATCTCTTTGTAGTTGGAAGAAGACAATATAAAAATCAATTGTAAGGTAAGGAAAATTTGCAAACACATTTTCTGGTTACCCAAAAATACATAATATGCCTTCTTGCCTAATTTTTTTATACGTATACACATTATTACCTGCAATAACATACAGATTAATCCAATCTGAAAATATTGTTGCCACAATTGAATATTTATAAAGGGAATACGTAATCCAAATTATTTAATTGTTGTTGTTGGTCTGTTAAAAATTTAAAGATTTAAAATATCTATTTTTTAATGAACCTAGTAATTTTTTATTTTCGTCAATACCTCCTCAAATGAACCAAGTAATCGCTAATTGATTAAATCATTTATTTCTATAAACCACTTCTGTCTTTAAACATGTAATAGCTTATAATAAAAGAGGCTTTTTTTTCCATTGGCAATTAACGAGCAGTTAACTGTTTTCTTTTTCATTAATTAATACTATTATAAAATGCCTAAGCTTTTATTCCTGCATTTATGGGTGATTAACTTTCAAATGAAACAGTTATTTTACACTTGTTAAAAAAAAAGCACAATTTCTTAATATATAGCAGTTCCCAGTTGATTAAATATGTAAAGACAGTTCTGACAATTCTTTCCTTACTTTGTATCCATCTGGCTTACCTAGGAACTTAAACAAACAAAAAACCAGTTGCTGTTAAGTCGATTCTGGCCCATATCGACCCTATAGGACAGAGTAGAACTGCTCCATAGGGTTTGCAAGGAACAGCTAGAAGCCGAGCTCTTAACCACTGTGGGACCAGTTCCATTAGTGATGAATGAAAAATATTGAGAAAAATATCGGATCACTTCAAATTTTAATCACAGAAACATTTCCAGCTCTAATGGTTCTGGAAAATTGTCTGCTTATGAATGATTTTATACAAAGGAAATAGTCTATTAATTACTTTGTTTCTTTTTCCCTGTATCAAATTTACCTTAATGACTTGCTTATCATTAACTAAACCATAAAACAACAACAATAACGAAGCATTAATGAAGTCTTAGGAAAGACATTTTAACTGTAATTGAATGGGGCTGTTGGGCATGCTTAAGTCTGGGGCTAAGTGGTATGATATTATCAACAACCTTATAAATCCAAACAAGATAAAGTCAATGAAATGAAGACCCTCTCTGCAAGCATTCCTATTAGAATATATGTTCCAGGAAGGTAAGGGTTTTGTTGTTGTTGTTGTTACTAATGTACCTCCAGTGCCTCGAACAGTGTTTGGCAATGTAGAGGGTAATCAAAAATATTTATTAGTTAGCATCCTATGAGACAGCTCATTTTACTTTTTAGCCAAATGCAAACAGAAAAACAGAGAGGAGAAGGAAATTAGGTGCAGGTAGGTGCATATGTAATACCATATTTGTAACTTTACAGAGTTTACAATTTCTTAGGACATTCTCTTTTCCTCTATTCTTTTCCACCCACCTCTCATATATAAAGTAAAAACCAGAATCTATTTTCTTTTCAGAGGGGTGCTGGTGGTATCCCCACCACTCCATTTTTAGTTGGTGTCAGAAGCAGGATTCATTATAATGACTCCAGACTCATGGAAGCATGGGACTTAGGAAGCGAAAGAATAAAGGGGCATGGGAAGTGAAACTTTTGATTCCTAAATGGTTCGTTTGGTTATTGTTACCTGTAATCGGAAGCCCTGGTAGCATAATGGTTAAGAGCTTGGCCGCTAACCAAAAGGTCGGCAGTTCAAATCCACCAGCTGCTGCTTGGAAACTCTATGGGGCAGTTGTACTCTGTCCTATAGGGTCGCTACGAGTCAAAATCAACTTGAGGGCAATGGGTTTTTATATGCTGATTAGTAGATAGTGTACTGTTACAAACAGAATTTGCCTTCTGTTATACTCTTCCCAAATCTTGACACTTGGTCTGTTTCAAACACTTGAAATAAAAGTAATTTTAAAAATAAGTATCGCCCAGCTACCATTACTAAATGTTTGATCAAAGATTCTATAGAACAATCCTGATCCAAAGGGGGAAAACGTAGAACAGAATTTCAAATTCTCATCCAATCCAGACTTTCTGGAGCCTTTGAGGTTGGATGAACCCCCAAAACTATTGCCCTGAGATAATCTTTAAACCTTAAACCAAAAATATCCCCTGAAGTCTTTTTTAAACCAAAGGATAGCTTGATTAGTAAAGAATGTCTGCCTTGAGCCTCATGCTCCTTTAAGAGCTATCTATATGGGATCAAATTGACAACAACAATATGCAAGATTAGATCGTCAACTTAGGGGGCAGTGAGTTTATGTTAATGGCAGAGGGACAATTGGAAAAAGGGAAATGAGAATGGTTACACAACTTGAAGAATGTAATCAATGCTACGGAATTACACGTGCTACTGAATTGTTAAATTGGTGAATGTTCTACAGTGTATATTCGCAACAACAACAACAAGGAGAAAAACGCAAAACCAAACTCACTGCTGTCAGGTCGATTCTGACTCATAGCAAACCTATAGAACAACAACAACAAGTAAAATAAATTTTAAAAATATGAGATAAATTTAAAAAAATGTGTTGCCATTCTTCTTTAGAATGTGGTTTTCTAGAAACGTGAAAGTCATACATTTGGCAAAGTTCTATGCAGCACCTACAGAAGACACTCACCAAATAGTAAAAACAAAACAAAACAATCAATTTTGCATCAATGAAAATACACAATTCTGAAAGAAGTAGTGTCACAATCTGTACAAAGGCCACGAATGTCAACAGTGTACCCGAGCTTATAATAGCTTTCTATAGAATGTAAGCTCTCCAAGGCAGGTAGATCTTTTCCTATGTTCTTCATTGATGTAACTCCAATACCTAAACTAGGGCCCAGTACATAGTATTATATTTAGAATGAATAATATACTTCCAAGTTGTACAAATGCAACAGTTAACAATTCTATTTTAAAAATTTTTAGGCATAAAATTGAACAATAAGATAATTAAAGTACATTCTAGGTGAGGGCAGTTAGCCATACAGCAGACAATTATCTTACCCCAAGACAGTTTTTAAACACCAAATTTAGGAACTCTGTCCTCAGATAAACTAACAGCTTATTTTCCTTATAAAAGTAATAAGGTAGACCTATCATGCATCACGAGAGTCACAAACCAACCATTTCAAAATTTTAAGACTTCAAAATATAATAGAACCAGTGTAGTAGTTTCCTCTTTCAAGATGACCAAAGTGGCTTTTATTTTATTCGAATACAACGCTAAGCTTGAACAAATAAGGCCTTGCAAAAACTTCGTTGATTGTTCATTTAATTTAAAAAGTGAACACCCTATATGATGAGGAGACAATCTTCTAAGCTTGTGCTCAACCAAGGTTGTGAATCAAGACTCTCATCCAGCAAACTAACAATCCGAGACAAAGGAGTTTGTAAAAATCCACAAATCTCAAATCAACAGCATATACATATTTCAGAGTCAAACCAAACGCACTGTATTAAGCTGGTCTCAAAGGAAGTCATCTCAATGCCTGAGATCAGAACTAACCTCGTCTTAGAAACGACATACATGGAAAAAGCCTACTTTCATAATCTTAGTTTCGAAATGAGGAAATGAAATCCGCATGCTCACCTGGCTAACGGGTTCTTTCGTAGGGGGCTTTCCTCTTCTGGCTGTGCTAGTAGCTAGGGTCGTGGTGGTTTCCATAATGGACGTGGACATCTCTGACTGCACAGCAGTGGCTGTCGACTCGGTTGTCATAGAGGAAGGCACTTCACCAACCAGTCTCACATTTCCCACTATGGCGATGTTGGCATCATTTTCGGCTGCCATATTCAGAACTTTCAAGCCATTGTAGTAAAGACCAGAGAGCTGGCCCTGGAAGGGCTGGCCCTGCTCTTTCCCGCCAATTATTATGGTTGCTTGGCTATTGAAGATTGTGAGCTGACGCCCTGTAAAAATAATATTACATACATGCAAAAATGTTGATTGTGAACTCTACATTCTACAAAGGATGATAAAACAGATCTTTCATGGAGTGGATAATGAAAGCAATAAACTATAAGAGAGGCATTTGACTCATAATTCATTGCTTATAAATGAGGTGTCCATGAAATGCATAATTATTGGCAATACTTGTAAATTCTCAACTTATTGTAAATGTAGTGCTTTTGCTAAAAGACCAATCAAAGATATGTCTTACAAATAAGTTTTTAGTGAATCTCTTTTCCCTTCTCCCTCAAGATCTTATGCTGTTGGTTGCTAAATTTAAAAAAAAAAAAAAAAAAGTGAGGTATCTAAGATTTCAAGTATTTGCTGTACTAAAATTACACTGGCAGACACTAATCTATAGCAGTAAAAATCTAATTTGAAATTTATAGTAAAAAAGTTTTGTAATTCAGATAATGGTCACATGCATCTATATCTAGTCTTTAAAATGCTAATTTTTTGAAGGCAATTATCCATTGCTATATGATTTTTTTTTTTTTTCAGGCAACAATCACACTGAAAAGAAACATGGTTTACACTGGGCATGTCAGAGACAAAAATTCAAAAATATTTATCTGATTGGCTTTCAGCAAGTCTATCAAAACAAAACAAAATGAAAAAAAAAAATAGCTTCAGATGTAAAAAGCGGCTTCAGGAATGATACACAAACCGATGGAGAATTTATGGCACATTTCCATCAAACAGCAATCCTCAGCAACAGTACCATTATCATCAAATTGAGTATCCAGTGTTAGCAGATTGCTCTCTGCTCATAAAAAGCATGCACACAACTTTAAGTTCAGTTTTAATTAGGGCTTGTTCCCAAATGCTCTTAGAAGTTTGCAAACGTTAAAGGGACTTCATTTTGACTGGCAATTCATATTGCCCACTATTTATTTAAGATGCCTAGAGTTTAAACAAAGAGTTTTTTGTTTTGTTTTTTTTTGTTTTTTCAGGACCATAATAAAGATATCAGAACTACATATATTTTAGTTAATAATTTAGAGGCTGGACCATGTAGTATAATCTATGAATGATTTATCATTTTGGGTTAATGCTTGCTGTGAGTGCCTTCAAAGATTGAGTTAGTGGATTATATTTAACAGTCCCTTTAACCTTAAGTTAACAGGGTAAGATTATTAAACAGCTGGTACGTCTAAAAATGTATAGAAATTATTATACAAGGTATGCAAATATTACTATCTACATTTTACTGTTTTAAATTTGTTTTTAATTTAGTTTTACGGAAAATTTATTTTTTATGTTTATTAGTGTTACGATGAAGTACTACTTGGTTATGTTCAAATTATTTTTTTATTTGAAGTTTTAATCAATGGTTTTTACCTTTGTCGAGTAGCCATTCATCAACTACTCGACCAAGTCGATATGGAATTCGCTGTCTAGCAATCGCCAGGCGCTCGTTATCATTGTTTCCTTTAAAGTTTAAAGAGACATTTCATTGGTTAAAATCTGTAAGGTCAAAGGTTAAACGTTAATACTTAAAGCTCGAGCTATACAGTTGCCACATGATTTTTTGAAAATTTGGAATTTTAAAAATTTCGACCTAGAACAGTTCATGTTCAGACTTTTCATTCATTCATTTATTTTATTTTAGCAAACAAAATTATTCCTATGTTAATTGAAAATTAGAAATCTGCATTTGAGCTAGGTTATTAAACTTATGTTATCGACAGACCCGAACAACCAATTTAAACAGCATATAATAGCTTTACAAAAAATGACCATTGACCTCAGGGTTTTGTCTTTTTGATGTTTCTTATTAACTAGTTAAACATGTTCAGGTGAAACAGGTTTAAGTGTTCAAAATACATTCAACCTCTTATTCCAGATTAGTAATTTATGAACACCAGACTTAATATCATCCTTGGCACACTGAAGCATCTACAATAGGCCTAGCATACTTTATTTCCTATTCAGAAAACAGAAATTCTTATTCATCTCATTTAAGGAAACCACAAAGTCCAAATCGTTGGTGTGTATTCTACACAAATTGGTTTATCAATCACTTGGACATCACAAGAGCATACATCTTGCATCATCCAAATATGTTACTACAGGAAAAGGCTTTGACAAAAGTAACTTGATTTGAGCGTCCTTCAGTTTCATTTACAACTTAACATGTTGCAGCGTATACCATTTGAAAAAAAAAACTTCTATGAATGTTTTTATATACTCAAATATCTGCTTTTTATTAAGCTATTCTGAAAAAGACACGATAATTTATGGAATAGATACAAGGCACAAACACTGGCCCTGTTCACATACTAAACTAAATGAGAGCCTGACTCCTTTGAACAAACAAAATAGCTGATAGAAACAGTGTTTAAATTGACCTTGAATAATGCTTGCAAATAGATGAGTGTTTTCTTGATCTATAAAGCACTTAAGAATCTAGGCTGCTGTCTCAGTGATCAATGGCGTAGGTTGCAAAAAAAAGTCTTCTTATTCTTTGGAAATTAATAAGCATGAAATTTCGAGCTAAGGCATTTTGACAATAGCTGAGGTGAAGACACAGATATGAAAGAAACATTGAATGGTAGAAATGTCCACATGAAAAGAGAGGAACATTTAACTACTTAAGATAATAGATAGGAATCTTTCTCAAGCTAAGAGTAATTTATAAGTGCTTTCTTATGCTAATATTATTATACAGTATACTTCCTATGGAAGAAAGATGGGGTAGTCTGCTTCCGTAAAGATCTACAGCCTTGGAAACCCTATCTGTTCTGCTCTGTCCTATAGGGTCTCCATGAGTCGCAATCAACCCGACAGCAATGGGTTTGGTCTTTTTTTTTCGGATACTTACTACAATAATCCTGCCATAATATTGGTCACACAGGTTTAGAGAAATAGAAAGGACTCTCTTTTGCACTTTGTCAATTTGTTGTTTGAATGTATACACAACCGAAGATATTTCACACGTTAACATTTAATTTAAAATGTGCATCAACGTGGAGCCAACTGTAAAGTTTAACAAAAATCTTTATATGCATTTCTCTGTATGTTGTAGTATTTTTAATAGCAATAAAAAATTTCAAACAATTAAATTGTCTAATGATTGAGTATTGCATAATCCAAATATAGTACATCTACATATAGGCATATTAGGCAAACATGAAAATGTTTTAAAATAACATTTTATGACATGGGAATATCCTTGTGGTATAATGTTAATTTAAATTAAAAAAAAGCACACGTACCTTAGAAACCCAAGCCTTTCTTTGCTTTTTTTAAAAAGAAAGTATGCACAATGTGTTCTTCTGTGTTTGCATATATGCATGTTTAGAAAAATGAACTATAATTTAATATTGGTTATCTAGGGCACTGTGATTATTGATAAATTATGTATTTTTGGCTTATATGTGATTTATATAATAAACATGTTTTACTTTCATAATTTGAAAATCAAAATAAAATATTATTTTTCAAAAACACATGCCTTTTGCTCTAAGGACTTCTTTCCTGCCCAATGCTCATACCAGTTCACACTGGTACAGTTCTCCTGATAACTTTATCATTAGGTGGCTCTTCATACTGCTTTCTATGATGTACCCATCACCTGGATCGACTCATCATTTCCTCAGCCACCACTCTAACATACGTCCCAAGTCCTCTCGTGCTTAATTACTACTACAGTTTATTTACAGATCTCCCTGCATCCTCTCTGAAATTAATCCCACCCTTTCTCCACACTTCAGCCAAAATGTAATCATGCCACTTGTCTGACTATAACTCTTTCCATTGCCTTTGGGATAAAATCTCTGATCCCCCTACCACCTACCATGTTTCACCTCATAGCCGTTGGCTGTCACTGGCCTGCTCTCCTCCTTCCATCCTCATAAGACTTGCAGTTCCTCTGATGCTGTCCCCTCCTCTTTGGGCCTTTGCACTTGCAGCCTCCTTTATTTGAAACACCGTCCCTCCGTTCCCATACTATTTCCATCTGTCCTTGTGGTTGTTGTTGTTAGTTGCCATTGAGTTGCTTCTAGCTCCTGGTCACCCCAAGAGTGCAGAGTAGCTCTGCACTCCATAGGAGTTTCAACGATGTGACCTTTCAGAAACAGATCACTAGGTCTTACTTCCAAGGTGCCTCTGCGCGGATTCGAAATCACCAACCTTTCAGCTAGTAATCCAGCACTTAACCATCTGTGCCACTAAGGGACTCCAGCCATTTTTCCTTAGCCAACTACAACTCATTAATGAACTCTTCTTGGCAATAATATCACTTCCTCAGGAAGACTTCCCGGACATCCCCAGACTAGGTAAGACATCCGATTATAGACTTTCCTAGCTCCTGATACATGCAAAAGAAGCACTGAATTTTTAATTGCATATTCTACAAATACTTTCCCTCTAAGCTCTGAAGTTTCATGGGGTCAGGTACCAAGCATTGTGTATAATGCTATATCTCCAGTGCTTGCACAGTACCTTTCATACAACCTCCCAATAAATATCTATAGAATGAAATAGTGAAGGATATCTTGTTTTTCGATGACAGCTTCTGTGGTACCATTAACTCTTTCCGATAGCCTATACTGGAGCCCTGGTGGCACAGTGGTTAAGCGTTTGTCTGCTAACCAAAAGGTGGGCAGTTCAAATCTACCAGCCACTCCTTGGAAACCCTATGGGGCAGTTCTACTCTGTCCTGTATGTCACCATGAGTTGGAATTGACTCGACAGCAATGGGTTTGTTTGTTTGTTTGCTTTTTAACAACTTTCAAAAGAAAAAGAAAGCAAATATTTGTGCCCAGAGAACAGAACACACATAGCTAAGATTCCCTTTTGTATTTTCCAAAGGAACTATCATATTTAGCAAGTATAATTTTATTTATCTAATGGACTGTCACAGATTTGAATATCTGTATAATCAATCATTTCATTATTTAATAGTAACCACCCAAAGCCACAAAACAGGTAATCATAGTTGTGATCGGTAGAAAAAAGGTGGGGAGAAAAATGTCCTAAATAAGACAGATGGAGAAAACTTAAAGATGTATATATTCTTTTTTGAATGACTTTGAAAAAAGCACACACACACAAACACACACACACGCACACACAAATGGGAATACATACATATATACAAACATAAAATTTGCTCTCTTGGTATATCTTTGTCGCTTAGAGAATAATTCATATGTTTGCTATGAAATGATTTAAGTCAATAGTGGCTGTTGAAGATCCTTGATGGGATTAGCTAAAATAGGGACATAAACACTAAATTCCCATTAAATAATGAAGAGGTCTCCCAACAGCAACAACAATAACAAAAAAAATCTAGCAAATGGAGTAGGTAGTAGAAATAGGTATAAAAAAAGATGACAATTTATAAGAAAGATAACCACACTAATGTAGTCATACAATCTCATAACCCTTTCATATCACATGGCTTCTAGGTCAGAGAGCATGGTTTGTAACTGAGAGATTTTATTTTGAAATCAAAGGGCAGACGTTTTTCTTTGTCTTGTAGGGTTACTTGCAGGAGTAATGGATGAGTAATCCGACAGTTTACTTCAGTTCAATATATGCCTACTTATTCTCCAAATTCTTTGCCCTTCTACTAGAACAAAAACGAATGACTTTTCTTGTGTCAAAATCATGTATAAATTCATTGTCAGCTAGATAGATACAGAGTACAGTGACAAGGACTTTTTCACAGATGACTTCTAAACTCCTTCTACTATTGAGTATAAAGTAGTTCAGATTAGTTAGGTTCACCAGTCATAGGCCTACATTTTGCCTCCAACTCTTCATTTTCATTAACAAGCTATATATGAGAAGTGGTAACTGAGGTAAATTATTCAAATAATTGTTCAACATGTATTTTGCTTCTTTACATATTCATGATGATATCTTACTTGCAAAATATCATCCAATATTTTTACATGATTTTGTTGACTATTTAATCCTCACCACAGTTTCATATACATCTAGACCTTAGACATGTAATATAAAGGACCTAGAATAAGCTATTTGTTTGGGAAAGTTCAAAGACAAACATAATATCTGATGACTTTTTCTTTTCTCTGGGGGAAAAAAAACAAAAACTTGGTGTATATAGAAATAACATAGAGCTTCTATGGATGGTCAAAGGAAGGAGATTTATACTGGTAGGAGAGACAAAATACAAGTGAAAATGTAAAGCAAACCAAAGGTGAATCTTTGGAGGAGGTATTTTCCTTTCATGTTTCCTAAATCAGAGTTAAGGATAAAGTAATAATGACCTATTTATAAAAGTCTTATTCCTTTTGGGATTATTAAACAGGGCCAAGAATAATTTCAACTTTTTCAAAAGCATGAAACTCAGCTACAGCTATCAGCTGAGCACATAAGCTAGATTTATGAAAACAGAGCTTTTCACTGAATAGCTAAAAGATAATAATCTAATCTCACACTTTGTGTCTCCTGATAAA